AAAGAGCAAGTTCAGTTTTTACAGGCACCGATGGATCTCATTCCATCTGCACTGGCTGCACAGACAGCCAGCTATCACAGAGCCTGCCATCTGATAGGTGGGAGTTTCTTTTTAAGGGGGCATCTGATTCAACCAGCATTGTTTACTGAGAAGTCTGTTCTCTCCCCTGCTGCTCTGCAATGCCACCTTTATCTCAGGTGCATGCCGATTCGTGGGACTGTCCCTGCACGGTATCCTGCTGTCACTTCATGGTGTATTTTAACACGTGACCATTTCAATCTTCCTTCTTCATTCTTAAAAATGGTCTTGGCTCTTCTTGACCTTTCGTATTTCCATAATCAATGACTGCTTGTCGAGTTCCGCACAACCACCCTGCTGGGACCTTGTCAGGACAGCACTGTGTGCACTGGACAGGGTGGGAACAGACACCTTTGCGCCGCTGAGTCTCTCAGTCCACGCAGGGACTGCGTGCTGCTCCAGCTGGGACTGCTCCGCAACTGTCCCACAGGTTTCAGAGAGGTCTTGAGTATCTTGCTGTTAGACATATTCCCAGGTACTTGGTGTTCTCAATGCTACCAAGAGCGTCTTTTAAAGTCTTGTCTGACATGATGAGCACACAGAATGGTGCTGCACTCGAGGCCAACAACTCTTACATTCTAATGCTTTAGGTATAGAACCACTGGAACTTTCTTTACAAAACCAGATTGCCCGGGGATAATCTCATTTCCGATCTCTCCCATTCAAACATGTGTAACACCTACTTCTTTGTTCCCGTGCAGGTTAGAGGCTCTAAGTTACAATGAAGAGTACAGGGTTTCGGTAGATACACCTACACCGGCTCCTGCTGTGAGGGGAAGGCTTTCTACATCTCGGCACCAAGTATGAGGTTTGTTCGGGAGACAGTTTTCCCAGATATTTCACATTTCTGCACGTCTTGCCGGCAGACAGTCTTTGTTCTGGACTAACCTTTCAAGAACAGTCAATAGCCTTGGAGACAGATAATGTGTCTCCCTTGAGAATGAAGGGCAGGTTAACTCACTGGCCAGTGTAAGAAGGATCTCCCTCCATGACGAAGACATGGCAGGCTGGCCTGCAGCCCACAATGACATCCGGGTTCCCTAAGCTCTCGGACCCTCTTATAACGCAACCCACTGTACACACAGGCATTTCCCGGCCCTCACCGGACCGCCCAGTGGGAAATGGGCTCGAGAACCTAGGCAAGGAAGTGGTATTCCGGCTACTGCTGTGTGCACAAAACTGTCCTTTTGCCTGTCCTTTGTCTAATGTCTTTTACCAGCACCAACAAGTCTGCAGGAAGATAACTAGTTACTTGTTAGTGTCAAATCTTAGGCCCCAAGATTTCTCCTTGAGAAGATTTGACCGTCGGTTTCTAGTTGAAGAATTCTATCAGTATGGGTGAAGAATTTATAAATCACTTCTCCGTATACTGAAATAATCAGAAGCCTTTTCTCCTTCATTCTCTTCACGTGATAAATTGTACTGATTTTCAAAGGTAAAATAGACCTTGAATTCCTGGAATAGTCGTTTTGGCTATTAACTTATTTTTAAAAACAAATAGTTTGTTGGGTTTAGTTCACCAATATTTTAAAGGCAACTCTGCACCCAGGCTCAAGGGAGCAGCCACCCCCACCCTGTGATGTCTGTGTTGGTGCCACGCCTGCACCGGTTCCTCTGGGAGCCTTTAAGACCAACACATACATTTTTGACTCTCACCAGTGACTTTGTTGATGTGGATGTCTGAGTCAGTCAGGCATCTCCCGCTATTGGCTTCCAGTGGGTAGCAGTCAGGGGGGCTGCTAAACACCTTCTGATGCCTGAGCCAGCCCCCAGCACAGAACTATTTGGCCAAAATGTCAGTGGTACCAAGAAACTTCACAAATCACGACACGTCTGACCAGTCACAGCACCTTCTCCGCACACTGCACACATCTCTTCTTGCATTTCAGTTGTGTTTTTACCTTCCTTGGAGTAATAAAGCATACGATGCTGACAATGTATTTTCTTCTACCTTCTGTATTGTAATGGCTGCACAAAGATTCAGCAATTTTGATGTTTTTTAAATGCACGCTGGTATGACGGCAGCTGTCACACAGTATCTAACAAAACCGTCTCAGAGGACCTTAAAGACAACTAAGCACTACTAGAACCATAATATGGGAAAAAAAAACAAAACAAGTTTTTTTGGCCAACCCAGTATTTCAGGTGTGACCTGAAGAGACTTGACTTTGTGTTACCGTGTGCACGATGTTCTGTACGATGCCCAATAAATCAAACTGGCTATTTGAATTGTTCAAATGTTCTGTATCATCACTGCTTCTTCCATTAGTTATGTTAAAATCTCCAACTGATTATAAACTTGGCTATTTTTCCTGCTAGTTTTGAAAATATTTGCTTTATATATTTTAAAGCTGTTTTATCAAATGTGTATGAACTTGGAATTATTTATTCCTAGTTAACTGAATGTATCTTCTTCAGTAATTTTATTGCTTTAAAGTCTACTTTGTCTAATATTAACACAGCATGGTTATTTTTTCCATCCTTAATTTTTTGATATCCTGATGTGTTGTTTTGGATGTCTCTAGAGACACTGAAGAGCTGGATTTTAAAAACTCAATCTGACAATCTCAGTCATTTATAGAAATACTTCATTCGCATGTGTATGTAATTAGTGACGTAACTGGGCTTTTCTCATCCTACTCAGCACTCCTGTTAGTCCTGCCTGTTCTGGGTGTCCCTTCACTCTCCTTCAGCACCTCCTTCCGCACGATTTTCCACTGCTCCATTTCCCCTCCCCCACAGAAGCACTGGAATCACGTTTTTAAAAATTGGGGTAAAATGTACACACACTGTTGTACAGTCACCACCACCATCAGTCTCCGGTGACCCGGGCAACTTCCTGCACCGAAACACCTTGAAACACTGCCCCTCCCCCTCCCCCCAGCAGCTGGCACCCACCGTTCTCCGTCCTGTCTCTATGACGTGACTGCCCCAGGCGCCTTGTGTAGCTGGAATGATGCACGTTTGTTCCTTTGCGACGGGTTCATTTCATTTATTATAGTCTCCCAGGTTCATCCGCGAGGCAGCGTCAGAGTTTCAGTCCTGTTCCAGGCCGAGTACTATTCCACTGCACAGGCCAGCGCGGCCCACCCCCCACGACTGCACAGCCCACCTGCCCCGCCTCTGCAGCTGTGCAGAGCGCTGCTGTGGGCACAGGGGCGCAAACAACTGCCCAAGTCCCTGCTTTCGAGGTTCTTCTGGGTGAGAACCTAGAAGTGAAACTGCTGAACCGCACAGTAATTCTATGTTTAAAGCGGCAGTTTCCAATTTCTCTACGTCCTCACCACTACTTTATAGTTGTAAAAGTAACATCCAGCCTAATGGGTTATAGTGGTGTATCACCGCAGTTTTGATTGAATTTCCCTAGTGATTAGCGATTTTAATGTACTCGATATTTTCATGTACTCGCTGGCCATTTGTTTATCTTCTTTGGAGAAATATCTATTTAAATCCTTCACCCATTTTTTTCTTTGATAATTTTATTTATTTTAGACAGAGGAAGAGAGGGAGAAAGACATCAGTGTGTGGCTGCCTCTTGTATGCCCCCTACTGGGGACCTGGCCCAAAACCCAGGCACATAGCCTGACTGGGAATTGAACCGGTGACCCTTTTAAGTTCACAGGCCAGCATGCAATCCACTCAGCCACACCAGCCAGGACCCTTTGCCCGTTTTTAATTGGGTTGTTTCTGTGAAGCTGGAGGTTATTCCTTTAGGTATTCTGCATACACCTACCCCGTCAGCCAGGTGATTTACACTTTCTTCCAAACTGCAGGCTGCTTCTTCACTCTGTTCCAACTGTTCTTTATCTGTCTCTCGTCTGTTTTTGTGTCATATCCAAGAAATCACTGCCAAGTTCAGTGCTGTGGGTGTTTCCTTCTAAGAGTTTTATGGCTTTACCTCTTGCGTTTACATATCGCTCCATTTTGAATTAGTTTTTGTATGAGATAAGGTAAGAGGACAACTTCATTTTTTATATGCTATTCAAAACTGTTCTTTTAAAGCAATCACCCCAAAGACAACACGTCTGCCTCTGCTATGCTCCCGACTAGTACACACGTGGAAAAGAAGCTAACACGGAGGCCCTGAGACCACTGTCCTTAGAAAGACCTGCCTGCAAGGCGAGCCCTCAGCTGGGGTCTGGGGAGGGTGCCAGCCAGTCCTGGGAGTAAGAGGAGCGGCTCACCGTCCCAGCGCCGTGTAAGCAGCACGGTCTATGCTGAATGGTTGCTGTCCTTCTGAGTCTGGAACCGTGGTCCGTGCTAAGCCAGCCCCCAGTGAGGACAGGCACAAATCTCTAAGGAGCTTTCCCTGATGGACATTCTCTATGTGTGCCCTGACTCACTGCCGGGGAGACGGCACGTCCTGTGTGACCTACTGGGTGGGAACTCTTGGCAGCTTGTGCCTGATTTTTCCAGACGGCACCCCGTGAGCCCTTCTTTTGCTCGTTTAGCTCATACCCTTTCGCTGTCTTAAATCGTAGCTGTGGTTATCACTATATCCTGAGTAAGGTGACTTCCCCCACAGAATCACTGAGCCTTGAGGGGTGGGGCTGGGTACCTCCCAACAGCCATGTGAGTGGGCCACCACAGAAGCAGACCCTGCGGTCTCAGTTGGCTGGTGACCAGGGCCTTGGCCAGCATCTGGACTGCAACACCAGGAGGGCCCTTGGCTAACGCCACCCAGCTCTGCCACTTCTGAATCCTGATGTACAAACTATGACATGATAACCATCATTCAACTTAGTTAATTTTGGGGTAACTGATTTTGCATTAATGGACTAATATAGTGTGTCTTTGTAATTTTATATTATTTAAAATTTAATATTTTGTATTTGGAAAATAAAATCAATAGCTTAAAAATTTTATGCAGTGGCTAAATATAAGAAATATGATCGACTTACCGCTTACTGGTTCACCTATTCCTAAGTGGAAGGAGAGTTTTTCAAAACGGATGAAGTCATTTCCACAATAGTGTTAATAGACAAGCCATTCAGAAAACCTTTATGATTTATCCTCACTGCCTGGAGAGCATCTATAATACGGTCTCTGTGCAAAAGGAAAACATACATGAGCAGCTGTCCTTTCCAAAGCCAGTGTGTGTTCCAAAAATGGCTACATTGCGGAACTGAGCTACATTCTACACACACTTTGACGGCCAGTTAGAATACAGCTGTGGTCGTCACCTGCACACGTCCGGGTGTAACTCAGCAAGTCTCCTCATGATCTTGGTAAAGCTGCGCAGGTTCAGTGTGTTCGGAGGCATGAATCGCAAAGGTGCATCAGGTAATAGTTTAGTAGATTCAATTTGTTTACAATTCTTCTTCTTGACACCCTAAATAAAGCATTTTAAAAGTTTTCTTTCCTTTTTTATTTTAAAGATTTTTACTTATTTTTAGACAGAGGGGAAGGGAGGGGAAGAGGGAAACATCAATGTGTGGCTGCCTCTCACATGCCCCCTACTGAGGACCTGGCCCAAAATCCAGGCACATGCCCTGAGTGGGAATTGAACTGTCACTCTTTGGTTTGCAGGTCTGAGCTCAATCCAGTCACACTCAGTGCAGTGTGACTCAGTTGAGTCACACCAGCCAGGAAGTTTTCTTAAGATCAATAATCATTATGTAGAGACAATCTAGCTTATTCAGTTAAAATAAATTTTGGAAATACGATTATAATAGTAAAATTGTAACAGTAATGATAATAGTTATACATTGTGAAATCGGAATTCCTGGGCCTTTATTTCATTTTGGATCATCCACACCAAGTCGAGTTCCCTGAGCTGTGCTCAGTGCCACGCAGTGAAAACGGCAAACGAGCCTTCTTCCTGCCGCGACCGCGTACCCGAAGCTGCGTCTGGTTTGGTCTTTCTCATCTGAGCCTCGGGACACAGACCTGTTGGATTGGTTTCCCCAAAGGCAGGACACTACCGGCTCCCACAGACAGGGAGGGGGTCAGCCCATTATATATGATGGGCATCTTAGGCTCGGGGCCCGAAAGCTTAATTCTCTTACCCAACTTGACAGAAAACCACTGGTTTACATGGTAGTTATAAATGTTCTACATCTGATTACTAAAGATGTTCTGAACACAAACTATACGCCTAGGACTATACCATGTGTGTGGTGGGAGCAGCAGGGAAGGAAAGTAGTGATATAAAATAGAACCCTCTCCACTTATGGATCTTATATTCCAACTGAAAAGGCAAAATTAAAAAAAATCAACGAATGACTGTTAACCACGTAATGAGGCTATAAATTGTATGAAACCACTGTAAATCCCATAAAACAGGGGTGTCAAACTCATTTTTACTGGGGGCCACATCAGCCTTGTGGTCGCCTTCAAAGGGCCGAATGTAATGTCAACTCAACAGTTAAGGAGTAGTTACATTTATACAGTCCTAAAATTATTTTGGCCCTTCGAAGGCAACCATGAGGCTGATGTGGCCCCCAGTGAAAATGAGTTTGACACCCCTGCCATAAAAGTTCAATGAAAAACTAAGACTTTAAAGCCCAGATGCAAAATCCAGACAAGATAAATAAAGTATTAAATCTGTCACATCAGAATATTTCACTTACTTTACCTCCTCCACTAGATTTAAGCTTACAAGAACAGACTCTTGTCTGCTTTGGTCATTACTGCTTTCCCAATCAGTGCCTAAAACAGTGTTTATAGTGGTACATCATAACGGTGTGTTAAATAAACAAACGTTTGGGATGCAACAGTTGAAACGACAGCTAAAACCACAGAGAGGATGACATTCCCACGAGAGAGCCGGATGACCCGTAAACAGCGATGGCCCCTATTTGCTAAGTCCATTCGCCATGGCACACACAGTTCTGAAGCAGCTCACACCACATGGAGGGGAACTACTACCCCCACATTAGGAAAAGGAAGCTCAGACGCACAGTTTACATAACTTGCTCAATCACGTGATGAGGAGGGGCAGGGCCTGATTATGAATGTGTTATTCTTACTCATCACCATTCTCCCTCTTATTGCAGACAATAAACATTTTCCAAATGAATAAATACAATGAATATATGTTGAGACTCCAAGAAAAATACAGGCGACAATAAATTGCTATGAAAGTTTAAGAGAACTTGAGAGTGCAGATTAATAAGCTAGTGGGGAACGGGACCCTCCCCACCTGTGTCCTCCGAGATGACGCGCTACTGCCCTGGCCCAGGCTGCCTGCCTTACGTATGCCCCATGGCCACCACAGCCCCCGCTGACTGAAGCCAGCGTGTGTCACCTGAACTAATGAGTACCAGGCTGGGTCAGTAAGAGTCCTGTCTAAAATAAGAGGAATGGAACCACAGAGCAAATGAGTCGGTAAAAGAAAGAAGCGTGAACTGAACAATATTGCAGAGTTAAAATTAAGCAAAACAAAGCTAAATGGAAGAAAAGTCACGAGCAGCCAGAGAAGAAGAACAGAGTGCGTGGGGCTACAGAGGCAAGAAACCACGTGAAGAGGAGGGCGAAGCCATGGCTCCCGACCCCCATGCAGGCCTCCGGGTTGCCCCGCTGTGCTCTGCCTCCTTCTGTCCCACTATGGATCGAGGTCACACACCAAAACCTCGTCTTACACATGAGCGTCATTGAGTGAACGAGTTTCAAAACAGGCTGATCAAGTCTCAGGCCTGGTGGTCAAAAAACAGGTCAGTGGTGTAAAGACCAATAAAAAAGTCACTAGTGGCAATGAAAAAAGTGGCTAAAATAAAATTTTAGAGACTAAAATTTGGGGAAGCTTGGCAGTAAAACATAGGACAAGTACGAATGGTAATGTTAAAGAAATGAAAAGTGAAAATCTTGCCAGAAAGAGGAAGAGTGGAGCAAAGGGTCTGCGCCAGGGGTGGAGTCGCTGACAGTGCAGAGAAGGGGTAACTGCGGAGACGAGGCTGCGGAAGGGGGGCTGGAGGGCATCGTCAGAAGAGAAGTCCGACAAGGTCCCTGTGTCTCCCGCAAGCATTTCCTTCAACCATTTATTAAAGAAGGATTTGCTCTGATGGAAGATTCAAAATAATCCCAGTAAAAATCAAAGTAGGAGTTTCTGATAGATACTGACAAGTTGAATTATGAAGTTTATACAAAAAGAAAAAGAGACCTGAAGAGCCAAAACAATTTTGAAATAGAACAAAGCTGGAAGACTCATTCTACCTGCTTTCAAGGCTTACTACAAAGCTACAATCAAGACAATGCGATCCTGGAGGGAAGAGAGACAGACTGACGGGAGATGACAGACCAGTCTATGAACAGACCACACAGAGAGCCAGCTGATGGTTGAGAAAGGTACAAAGATAATTTGTCTTTTCACAATGATGCTAGAATAATTCCATATGTAAAACACAAACATGTACAAAGGAAAAAATGACCTCAAGTCTCACCTCCCACAGCACATAGAAATGCACTAGAAACCTTTGTGATTGTGGGTTTCTTAGATATACCACTAAAAGCACAAGTTAAAAAAAAACTGATAAATGGTACTTCATCAATATTAAAAACTCCTGTTCTGATAAAGATACTATTAAACAAATGAGAAAACAAAGTACAGGCTAGTAAAAAGTATTTGTAAGTCACATATCCATCTTAAAAAGGATTTATACTCAGAATAGAAAAAAATCTCAAAACTCTGTAATAAAAAAACAATAAAAATGGTCACCAAAGGAACAGGAATGAACTGCTGATACAACATGAATCAATCTCAAACGCACTCGGGTAAGTGGAAGACGCCAGACTAAAGGCCACGTAAACTACACTGCATATGCAATATGATGGAAAGGGTAAAACGTAAGACAGGACACAGCAGAACACAAGACCATCTTTTGGAAGGGACTTTTTGTACCTTTACTGGTGGTTACATGTCCATATGCATTTGTATAAACGCATATACATCAAAGAAGTGAATTTTACTATATGTAAAATTAAAAAGAAAAGGATGGAATGCCTATGTGACACCAGGCACTTTGCTCGAGTCAGACGAAGAAAAACAAAGCAGTTAAGACCCTGGATATGAATTACTCATTGAGGAGAGAGCAGAGTGCGCGGAGCTGCTGCATCGCTCTGCTCGTGGGTCCGAGAGACGAGGGCACGCACAGTAAGGGAACTGCATCCTGTGGTTTCTGCAGCTTTGAGAAAAGGTTAGTGGTGATAAGGAGAGTGATGAAGTGCGGTCCACAAACAAAGAGATACAGGAACTGCAAAGCACTGGCAAAGAACCTTGAAGGGAAATGCGTTTTTCTGTAGCAGGTCTGCGAACACCCACGGTTTCCCTCAGGAGAACTGGAGCTGCACAGAAGCAGGTTAGGGTGGCTCCAAGGTTAAAAATCACCCAGATCAACGTTCTCATCCCCACTTAAAGGTTCCTGGCTTTACTGCCATTGGTTCTACAAAGCTACTTCCTGCAATGCGGCACACGCTAAGACCAGTTAAGGGGTTGATCAAGAGAACTAACCTGGTCGAAATGGAAAGACTCACTGTCTTCCTCAGATCCCAGCTGCCTTGGCCTAGTTCTGGGCAATCTAGAAATACAGGAAGCTGAGTTGATTTCTTTGTTGGTGCTTTTCTCCAAATTATTTAAACTACCTCTCCTTCCATTTTTGGAGAAAAGCGGTGATGTGCATTCTCCAGGGCTTTTAACCAGTCGCACGTTTACTGCTTTGCCATTTATTTCCGTCCCGTTCACTTCATTCACAGCAGACTTCGCATCACTGTTTCTCTTAAAAGCGAGAGATGCGTATCTGGAATATAAAAGCAGAAAAGAGCATGTGATCTTCTTAAAACACCTACTTGTAATAAATGTGAACCCAAACTTCAAACAGGATCCTTTGTTAAGTGGTACAGTTTCAATGTCTGAAATACACAGCTGTCATTTTTAGTAACAAAACAGTAAAGGTAAGTTCCGGCCAAGATGGAGGCGTAGGCAGAAACCCTTTGCTTCCTTGCACAACCAAAAGGAGGGTAACCACCAACCTAAAGTCAGTAAACAACCAGAGGTGCCAGAAAAGTCAAACTGCGTGGAGCTCCGACAACCAAGGAATTAAAGAAACAGTTGACCAGAACAACTGGACCATTGAGAACCCGCAGCGAGACAGCAGACCACACGTGTGGGGCTGGCTGAACGGGAAACTGAGACTCAGCTCCCTGTGCACTACGGTGGGGCTGCCACAGTGAGAGAGACTCCCAGTCTCACGCGAGAGTGTGTTGGAGAGTGGGCTGGAGCCGGGCAGGTGAGCCGCATGGCGCCCTCTCTGAACCCTCCCCCCAGACAGCACCACAGGCAGCAAGGAGGGTGGTCCCGCCCTGGCGGACACCTAAGGCCCTGCCCCCTTACAACCTAACAGGTGCCCCAAGACTAAGAAATACGGCCCAAATGAAAGAACAGAGCAAAACTCCAGACAGAGAGCTAAGCGATGAGGAGACAGCCAGCCTGCCAGATGGAGAGTTTAAAGCTCTGATAATCAAAATGCTCACAGGACGGATTGAGGTTGGTTGAAAAGTGAAAAAGCAAATGAATGACACGCAAAATGAAATAAAGCAAAGTGTTCAGGGAACCAACAGTGACAGGAAGGAAACCAGAACTCAAAGCAACGATTTGAAACAAAAGGAAGAAATAAACATCCAACCAGAACAGAATGAAGAAAAAAATAATAAAAAAAACCCCAAAAACCAAAACCCAAAGAGGCTGAGGAATCTCTGGGACAACTTAAAATGTTCCAATATTTGAATTACAGGGGTGCCAGAAGAACAATAGTGAGAAATTGAAAACTTATTTGGACAAATAATAAAGGAGAACTTCCCCAATCTAACAAAGGAAATAGTCCCAGGAAGCCCAGAGAGTCCCAAAGAAGATGGACAGAAAGAGGAACACATCAAGGTGTATCACAATTACATTACCTAAGCTTAAAGATAAAGAGAGAATCTCAAAAGCAGCAAGAGAAAAGGAGACAGCTACCTACAAAGGAGTTCCCATCAGACTGTCAGACTGTCAAGATTTCCCAAAAGAAACCTTGCAGGCAAGAAGGGGCTGGAAAGAAATATCTGAAGTTTCATGAAGCGCAAGGACCTACATCCAAGAACACTCTACCCAGCAAAGCTTTCATTTAGCATGGAAGGGCAGACAAAGTACTTCCCAGAAAAGGTCAAGTTAAAGGAATTAAAAATTATCAAGCCCTTATTATATGAAATGTTAAAGAGACTTATCTAAGAAATTAAAGATCAAAACCATGAGCAGTAAAATGACAACAAACTCATAACTATCAAAAAATGAACCTATTAAAAAAAAAGAAAAACAATGGAAACAAAAACCAAGCAAACAACTAGAACAGGAACGGAATGAGAGAAAGGGACAGCACACGGGAGGTTTTCAGTGGGGAGGGGGAAGGAGGAATGGGGAGAAGAGGTACAGAAAGAAAGAAGCATAATTGGTAGGCAGAAAATAGACAGGGAAGTCAAAAATGGTATAAAAAGCAGAGAACTCAAAGAACTTCTATGTACAACCCATGGACATGAACTAAGGTGGGAAATGCTGGAGAGTGGGGGGGCTGCAGGGTGGAGGGGGGAGAAAGGGGGATAAGTTGGGAAAACTGTAATAGCATAGTCAGTAAAAAATACTTAAAAAAGCAGTAAAGGTATTTCCACTGAACTCTTGCCATTGTTATTTGATACTTTTGAACGTTCTGGCAATGTCAGAAACAAAAACTAGCATCATACATGTGACCGTGTACTCATGATATAGCTTAGGACCTAAGATGCAACACGAGAGCATGACTAAGTGGTAAAGACAATAAAAGTCCGCAGTACAACTCCTGCAGCCCCCGCTCCGCGCCAGGCCCCGCCCTCACTGCTCTGCTTGTTCAACTGACCCCAGTCTCAGAGCGCGGCTGTGACGGCACAGGTGCTACTACCCTTACTTTCCACAGAGCCTGCGGTACAGAAAGATGAAGTCACTTGCCCAAATTTATTCAGCAAGTGTGACAGAGCTGGGAACGGAATCCAAGCCATACAGCTGCAGAGCACATTCTCTTAACGGCGCCCAGCACTGCCACGATGAAGCAAGATCAAGGGCACACAAACCAGCAGCTGTGCTGTGCACCTGCAGTACCAAGGTAAGAAGCACAATGAGAGAAAGATCGGAAGAAGAACAGCGGGGGCTGTCCAGGTGTGTCCTCCACTGGACAGGGAAAGCTCTCCTGGAATGGCCCTGACTCGATCGTCAGTTGGTTCATGTCTAATACTGAACCTCTGGCACACAGCAGACACCTAGGAGATGCGTACTTATTTTAATTTTTTAAAAGATTTTATTTATTTTCAGAGAGGGGGAGGGAAAGAGGGAAACATCAATGTGCAGTTGCGTTTCATGCGCCCCTCTCTGGGGACCTGGCCTGCAACCCAGGCATGTGCCCTGACTGCGAATTGATCGGGCAACCCTGCTTTGCAGGCCGGTGCTCAATCTGCTGAGCCGCACCAGCCGGGGCTGAAATGCATACTTACTCAGTTTAGAAAACAAACCTGTAATGAGAAGAATCATAAATGGAAATGTCAGAAACTTGATATTTCTGGAAATGGTACCTTAAATCAGCCTAAAAGAAGAGAAATAAAACTTTGTGAGGGGTAGAAAACAACAACAAATAGTCAGAATACAAATACCTAATAGATCTAAAAATGAAGCTCAGAAAATAAATCCTGGCATACCTCAGACACTGAAGGGCAGAGACCTCCCACGTGTACCAAGTAGCTTTTCTCTCTTTGTAAGGGGTCAGCATTCTTCATTTCTGCTTATAGAAAAATGTAATAAACAGAAGATAATGATTATTATACTGGTATTTTTTAAATGTAAACACTTAAATATTTTATTTATTATTATAAAGCTTATTATAAAGTCATTAGCAAATACCAGCACTAGAGTGAAAACCAAGAGCCTGGGGTCTAGTTTTAAGATTTCTGAGACTTAAAAATAAAGATGGATTGGTTGGTATGAAGCCCCTTGTAGCTCAGAGACAGATCAGTACACAGACAGCGTCATTGAATGCACCCTGACTAAGCCAGGGTCTCTGCTCATCTCGGCTCGGAGGTCCAGGAGGCTGACTGCGCACAGCACCCACCGCACTAATGCCGGCTGGGGCTCCTGCTGTACATCTTTGCTGGGGAAAACCCGCACCAAAAAAACCCTTCTACGACAGGCAAATACCAACAGCAGGGAGATGGCAGTGGCACCAAAGGATGAGGGGGCGGGGCGAGAACCTGATCCGGACAAGAGCGCATTTCCAGTCTGCGGGCTGAAGAGTCTGGTCTGCAACTCGAGGGGTCCGTCGGAGCCTGCGCCTGACACGGGGTGGGGGCGCACAGTCGGTGTGTGTTGGAGGGATTTGTACAGCGGCTCGCATCTCTAGTTTGATCGCTCTTGTGTAAGAGGGCCAGTCACAAGTTTCATTTTCTTCACTATGTAATACCAACAGTCTGCGCCTACTGAGTGCTCCCCATATTCCAGGGAACACGCCAAGCACTTCCTATGCATCATCTCACGGGATGCTCACAGCCACCCTGTGAAGTACAGTTGTCACTGTCTCCACTTCCCGGATGAAGTCTCAGGAGCCGAGGTCACAGATCTAGTCAGTGGGGGTGCTGGAAAGTTCAGACAGAGCCCTTTATCTCCAGGCAAGAACACTGACCCTCCAACCCTCCGTCGTGAACCGACCTGGCTTGCTGGTGTCTGGCTCACGAGGTGCCAGACAGGGAAAACAGCCCCAGAGCAGGGCAGGCAGCACGGCAGGAGAGGGAAGCGGGCAGGAGTCGGGAGGCAAACCCGGTGCCCACCACCTCGGCCTGGACCAGTTTAACACCAAGTTATGTACTCAGTACCTCGTGGGCTGAAGGCTGTGCCCGGTGCCCAGGACAGGCCGTAACCAAAGCACAGGAACATTCCTGACCTCACTGACTAATTAATACGTGAGTGTGAGACGGCAGTCAATGTATCTATCCATGCACAGTATGCGATCAGTGACATGGAGAAAAATGCAAGGAAGAGAAGCCCTCACAGCAAAACTAGATGATGTAATGTCCCTATAAACTGTATGTGCAGGAGCAGGGCACCAGAAACGAGGGAGGGGCAGTGACTGTGGCGCCAGGAAAAGCCCCAGCCCCACAGGCAGTGAGGACTGTCTAGAGGGAGAGCACCGAGACGGGAGGGAGGGCACGGGTCCCACCCCGCCCCCGGGGAGCGGCCGGTCCTGCCTGCCTGCGGGACGGGGCCCTGACGGTCCAGAGCGAGGGAGGGGGTCCCGGGCCTCGACCTCCGAACTAAATCTTGGATTTATGCTCTTGGCAGATAGCTTTCTGAGAGGGAAATGAACATTTTAAATTGATTTTTAAAAACTGACCTCCAAATGGCTAACTTTCTGTACTAGTAAAGGAAAGCCATGAACAGGAATGACACATTAAGGCTCAGTAACAGAGGAGCCCAACAACAGCGGAGACAGGAAGCACTCTCTGAAAACGGGCCGGGCAGGCCTCCCCAGTGAGCCGCGGGGACCCACCCGGCGCGCGCTCTGGGTCCAGTCTGGGGTCCTGCCTGCCGAGCTCTCTCCAATGGTCTCCCGAGCAGTCGGCTCCCGTCAGGCTTTCTCTAGCATCGAACCAGTCCTCACTCACTTCTTGAGGATTTTTGTAATCTGAAAATCGAACATGAACAGCTATGAATTATGTATGTTTACCCCTACAAGAAGTTACCTGAAAGCTTCTCAAAATGAATCGGCATAATGACAATGATTAATTTTATGTGTAAGTATACAAATAAGTATTAGCAAAATAGGAGAACCGAGCACGAAGACAGAGGTGTTTTCAGCCCGAGTAACACGTGCTTTCCAGTCTGAGTGACTTGTGTCCTAGTGTTCCTTTCACTGATGCAGGGGCCTCGCCTCACTGTCTGATCTCGAAGCCACCGTTGTTAGATCTGTGCTGTCTTCCTATACAGACTGATAGCAAATGTCTTTAAAAGGGATTAAGTGCCCTGGCTGGCATAGCTCAGTGGATTGAGCGCGGGCCTGCGAACCAGAGTATCGCGGTTTGATTCCCAGTCAGGGCACATGCCTGGGTTGCAGGCCAGTTCCCAGCAGGGGACTCATGAGAGGCAACCATACATTGATATTTCTCTCCCACTCTTTCTCCTTCCCTTCCCCTCTCTCGAAAAATAAATAAATAAAATATTTAAAAAATAATAAAAGGGATTAAGTATTACTACAGCTCTTTATTTCTTTAAAAGCCTGTGATCTTTTTAGAATGATCATAACCTTGTTTCACACCTCTTTTCAAAGAGGAGAAAATAAAAACCATTACACACAATTTACAGAGATATAAATTGGACAGAAGAATTTTCAGATCGGAAAACATGAACCAGAAGAATAAATGTCTGTATTATCATTTGGCATCATCAGATAGAGTATTAGGTAACCTCAAAAATGTGAAGTACATGGTAAAAAGAACATTTTTACCATTTATAATCAGATTGATGCCATTCAATTAAACAAATTTATTTTAATTTAATGAATGAGCACCAGAGATATTTTAAACCTTACTGCTTTAGAGCAATGACATAAGACAGTATATTTTTACACTGACCTTTGTCATCAAGTTTCAGTTGACTGAAGTATCCATCTATATCAGCATTTTTTAAACCACCTTCCTTGGGTGAGGTACCTTGGTTAGGATGACTGTTGTCAGATAATAAAGACACCTGGGCATTAAAAAAAAAACAGTGACCGTGACCAAGGACTAGCCGTTACGGTGCTTCTTCACCCCACTGGCCCCACCACAGTGAGGGCTCAGGGCTGAGCTGTTCTCCAAAATCACCAGGGAGCAGGCTGAAGCTAAGCGCCTGGTCGCCGTGTCTGTCCCACCGTTAGCAAGAGTCAGGGCTTCAATGGACCCAGTCTGTGTGCAGCAACGGGAGGCTGCACCAATCCCCGTCATTCAGCCAAGTGTGGCTTGCACACCAGAAGTAATTCAGGTGATTTTCGGAGATACACTTATAAGTATTTCTCATTTTAACATTTATTAGTCATGTAGTTAATGTGGCTTATGTATACCTTACATTTATGGGAAGTAATATTACTTTCCCAAATAGTAAATAAGCTATTCCTTATATGTAAGTTTATTTTAAAAAGACACCGTTTAAAGTATACAAAGCAAGTAACGTTACAGGTTAACACATGGCTGTAGAAAACAGTGATGATAGTATATAACTAAAATTAAGACACACCACGCTATATACTACCCTGGATTTCACACATAACCTGTTGATGCGACAGGTTATTAAAATAAAATCCCAACTTAAAATACTGTCTTGTAGTCGAAGCTTAGATTATAAAATAAATTATGCACATCTACGTCTTGTACTCTTAACACCTATCTTTAGATCTTTTGTGCACAATGGACTAGAACAATGGAACAACTAAACGACTAGAGTAATTCACTTTTAATCATTTGTTAATATCATAAAGGAATATAGATCAATTGAGCATTTCGCTTTTGGCCTTGGAATGAATCTAAGGCCAAAGTACATAAGTACTAGTACATAAGACCTAAGGCCTAGTACATAAGACTATGTGGATAATATAAGCTCAGAGTTAAAATCAGAGTCAGAACGCAGACACAAACTCTGGCTGCCCCACTCCACTGCCTCACTCGGTAATGAAATACAGTTCATGGTTCTGTGTCCCTTCACAGTTCGTGTGTCCCTTCATAGTTCGTGGAGCGACAAACATTTCTCTCAGACCACAGAGGTCAAGAAGCCCCCTGCTCCTTCTACTCTGTTACGCCCCTCGGTTAGCAGCACACCGAGTCAGCCAGGTGAGCGTAAAGAAGAATGCGAGAACTCCTGCAAGTTACAGTTTACTTTGCATAAGCCATAAAACCGAAGATTTTACACTGATGAACTACTAAAAAACTCACTTGAGAGAGTGTCTTTTTTAGGCTTGAGGAAATGTCAATATCACATATAATTTGATTATCTACTTCAGAATCTGCTCCTGAAAAGCTAAACAGGTAAACATTTCATTAAAGAATTTATCAATGTTCTAAATAAGGACCAAACCAGAAAACTTAAAATTATTTAAAATTAAGCAATTTTTAAGATCAAATGAATCCTGAATTAGATGAAACTATAACTTACACATGTGATTCTTTTTTCATTAGCTGGAAAGACAGAAAAAGGGAAAAAATCGTTTAGTTTAGAATGTTTTACTTAAGTAAAAATTTTGTTCCTAAAACACAACTACATACCCTGGAAGCGAAAGTGGAGAAGGCAGACAGTAACTTGGACTCCACGGACAGAGGGGGCAGCTCCTCCAGTGGGACCCCCTTGTTGATTTTTTCTTTCAAACTCACATACTTCACTTTTAAGTCTCCCAAAACAGACAGTAGTGCTGATCCTAATTCCTTGTTCACAGAATTAGTTGATAAATCCCTGTTCAAAAGTTAAGTTCACAAAACTGATTTAAGCTGAAGCCATCCATTTAACACTAATATTGTGTTACACACTTAGTTCTATCAAATCTTTAAATTGTTCCCCTCTAAATACTCAGTGAAAAAAACCAAACCGCAAACAATATGTTTTTCTAGAAGCAGTACCAGCAACTCTCAATACATCAGCCAGAGAAAATATGACAGTGTTATGTGAAACCCTGCAACTGACGCCATCTGAACTTGGACTTTGTAAGAAACATCAAATTTGTCTTTTTACTGGATTCATCCTCCCAACATACACTGTTGTCTCTCCACGAGATTCTAATGTATTACTTCTAAAAATCTAGTTCCAATCTACCCCTCGTTTTGCCCTTCGGAGATGAAAATTGAACACATTGTCCAGAATTAACACCGAACTGGCGGCACGTTCCTGACGCAGGTTTAAACCAGCCGTCACCTGCTGAGCCCTGCCCGGTCCTCTGTCACCAGCCTGTAGATCTCACTGCAGTGGCGATGACACAGCTGGTAGTGGACGTTTAGAAGCTGCAGCTCGGCTTTGACGGCTCTCTGCATTACTTTCTGACAGCACTTTGATGGCAGATTCTTCTCCCTGTCTTTAGAAAGTTGGGGTTCCCTTTAAAATAAAAGAACGGGTTTGGTTAAGATACCAAGTATTTTCTGCGTTACCGGTGTGCCTCAAAAAACAGTTTTCAGTTTCTTCTATTTCCTTGTCAAGTTAAAGCCAACTTTTACTAAACATGGAAGAAGTATAGGAACACATCAGAGTCAGAAAAAAAGGATGGTAAGGGTCAAAGCTAATACAGTTCTTTCAAACCTCAAGAAAGTAAACGATTCTCGAATTCATACGTTCTTTTATGAAAAAAGGCTTCCAAAGTAAAGTACTGACTTTATCCAGAATAGGTTTTCAACCTAAATCAAGCTCTGGCCAATATTTTTAAAAGTTATGAGCATTCTGGATGGAAACTTTTTTTTTTCCTTCTCCTTTTTTATTTTTTCAAATCTTGGGGTTTTTTTCAGTGTTATTTTAATTGATTATGTCATTACATTTGTTCTATTCCCCTCCTTCATTCCCCCTCTGCACACCCCTCCCCCATTATTCCCCCCCTTAGTTCATGAACAGTTGTCTCAAGTTCTTTAGATTCTTTATTTCCCCTACTATTCTTGCCCTCACCCCATTTATTTTCTATCTACCGTCTATGCTACTTATTTTCTGGACCTTCTCCCCGCTTCTCCTCCTCCTACTCCCCTGTTGCTAACCCTCCATGTGATCTTCATTTCTATGGTTCTGCTCCTGATCTAGCTGTCCTCTTAGTTTGCTTTTGTTTTAGGTGTGGTTGTTAATAACTGTGAGTTTGCTATCCTTCTACTGTTCATGTTTTTTATCTTCTTCTTCTTAGGTAAGTCCCTTTAACATTTCATATAATAAGGGCTTGGTGATGATGAACTCCTTGAATTTGATCTTATCTGAAAAGCACTTTAACTGTCCTTCCATTTTAAATGGAAGCTTTGCTGGATAGATCAATCTTAGTTGTAGGTCTTTGGTTTTCACAACTTGGAATACTTCTTTCCAGCCCCTTCTTGCCTGGAAGGTCTGAGAAATCTGCTGACAGTCTGATGGGAACTCCTTTGTAGGTGACTGTCCCCTTATCTCTTGCTGCTTCTAGGATTCTCTCCTTCATTTTAATCTTGGCTAATGTAATTATGATGTGCCTTGGCGTGTTCCTTCTTGGGTCCAACTTCTTTGGGACTCTCTGAGCTTCCTGGATTTCCTGGAAGTCTATTTCCTTTGCCAGAACGGGGAAGTTCTCTTTTGTTATTTGTTCAAATAAGGTTTCCACTCGTGGGTGTTCCTCTTCCCCTTCTGGTACCCCTATAATTCGAATGTTGGAGTGTTTAAAGATGTCCTGGAGGTTTCTAAGCCTCTCATTTTTTTGAATTCTTGTTTCTCCATATTTTTCTGTTTGGTCATTTTTTCCTTCCTTCTGGTCTGCACCCTTGATTTGAGTCCCAGTTTCCTTTCCATTACTATTGGTTTCCTGTGCATTTCCATTCATTTCGATTAGTTTAGTCTTCATATGTTCCCCTAATTTGTGACTAAAAATCAGTTCTGTGAGCATCCTGATCACCAGTGTTTTGAACTGTGCATCTGAAAGTTTGGCTATTTCTTCATTGCTTAGATTTATTGGCTCTGGGGCTCTGAGTTGTTCTTGAGCCATGTTTTGATCTGTTTGTGCCTGTTACGTATGAGGAGAGGCACCTTAATTCCCCAGGGCGGGGCCACCCAGATCGCTGGTTTATGACGCTGTATGTGGGGGTGGGGTCAGAGAGGGAGCAATGGTAGTCCTCTCTGCTCGCCTGGTCTGCCTCACCACTTGCTTCCCCCAGCCCCGTTTACCTAAGTGCAAATGTGTGAGCCCGCCGCCCTATGCTGGGGCCTGCACAGTCTGTCTCAATGCACGTCTCTTCACTGGTTTATCTGCATGCAAATGTCCAACCTCAGACCGCCAGCCATGCCGAGCCTTCCCATAGTTACCCCGCACCTGGGATCTGCGCCCTCGGCTGCTTGCGTGCCACCTGGGTCGGGGGATCATTTTTGCCCGACCCGCTCCGCTGCTGTCTTCGACCCTCTCACTGGTTTAGCTGAGCTGTTCGTTGTTTTTTGGACTCTGTGTTGTTCGATTTTCTGTGATTTGGTTGTGTTTACTGCTGTTAAAACTTTGTTGTTTTTAGATTTGGTTGTGCGAGAAAGCAAAGTGTTTCCGCCTATGTCTCCATCTTGGCGGAAGTCGAAACTATTCTTAAATGTTTTTTTTTAAATAGAAAATAGACAAAACACTTTTATTAATAATCAAGGGTGATTATTATAAGTAAATATTTTGCTGTGTTACTTTATCAAAAAGCCCCAAGTCTCTACATTTCCTGAATGTTAATGGTTCTTGCTACTAGTTGCCACATGTTGTTGTTCTCAGCACTTCTGTGTCAGGAAACCAACTCTTAACTTCATAGGACTGAATACTGAATCAAACTCAGAAGAAAGAAAGAAAAATGATGAAAAAAGTCAATGACCTCAGAGCATGAAAACTGATTTGGCTTCTCAGAAGCTTCCCTCTTCCTCCTCCCCATCCCACTCCTGATTCTCCTTTGTATTGTGAATTATAAGGGTATCTAATGAATGCAAAGTAAATTACACAATAAATTAAAATCAAATTAAAGTATCTCAGTGAAAGTAGCTATTGACTTCTTCATATACATGACATTTTCCCAAAGTTCTATTTTGTTTTGGTCTATAGGGGATCAAATGAAAGAAAACTGAGTAACTCAATCACTATGGATTTGGGTTGAATAAAGATGCCGTGAGTTTCTAGCAGAATTATTGAGACGAAATCTCAGTAAGTTAAAGAGCTTTGCCATTCTATATTATCCTAGTATATTTTGTGTTTGAAGGCAAATGGCTGAAGCAGATGATCCCTTAAGGTCCCTTTACGTTACTATTCTATGTGGTTAACTACCCTACAAAAAGCAAATTACCATTCTAATTTTTTCCCCATGTTATATCTGCAAGCTTATACTGCATCTAATTTACCTCTCAGGATGTTTCTTTAAGTCTGCAATACCAAGTGTTTTTCTTAATTCCAGGGAATCCTGCAAACATGATTTAAAATCCGATTAGAAATACATGACAAACACCACGCATTCTATCTGGGCCTCCAAACTGGCAGAAGTTCCCAGTGGACTTGGTGGCAACAGTAGCCACCAAAAAAGGACAGGGCTGGCGGCAACCTATTCGCCTTTTCCCTCCACTCTGCACTTGCTCACAAAAGTCTAAGGAACCCCTGCTAAAATTCGATTTACATGAACATACACTGCCTCTTCATAAAATCAAATAAAACTCTATTACTAATCATATTGGTTTTACCTTATTTAGAAAGTTTCCATTGGGCTTGACACTGTCAACTGAGAAGGCTTTTCCCAGGGGCGCCTTTGTCACGGCCATCGGTGTGTCCTCACTGCCTGGACAGTAGGACCAGTCTGTGTTACAGGCCACGCTCCGGTGCTTCCCCTTCTGACATTCGCTGGGGCGCCTCTTGTTCATCATTGTTATCTCGGTGTTGCTGGATGTAGACGCCACGGAAGGCCTTGCCGTTGTTGCGCGGCTGGTTGTGAAACAGGCCCTGAAATCGGAGCTCACATCCACTGTCTGACTAATGGTCAGTGTGCGCTGCGGGGCCGCCGTTGGGTAATCTGGGTGCGTTCCTTCCAGACGGAGGAGGAATGTCTGACCGGCAGCACTGCTGGCCCTAACCTCTGGGGAGCCATCTGCTTCTCCTTCCTGAGCATCGCTGACACCAGTCCTGGGTGGAGGAGGAGGAGAATCCAGGGCTGAGTTAGGGGTGTCGGGCAGGCTCACGTAGTGCGAGCATTCACAGGCAGAAAGTGCCGAGTCGTCACACGGAGAACAGGAAGTCTGACTGTCTTTCCAGGGTTGTGGTAACGTCTCTGAACCTTTGTCCTGTGGTGCTATGCTAGGATTTTCAAGGTGCTGTAACATTTTGTTCTCAACAGTTGTATTTCCACAAAAATCTTTAGTTTCAGTTATTTGAGATTTAATTTTGCTAGTATAAATTTTAGTTTTTAATGCTTGTTGAGGGTTTAAGAAATTGCTGTTAGATTGAGATTCTTGGTTTTCAGAAGGGCTACTGATGAGTACAATTTCATCAAATGCTGTGTGGTACGTTAAACTAGTCTCTTGTTCCTTACACTTTTCATGCCTTGGTTTATGGTAATTGCTTAATGTAACAGAATTCTGAAATTTGGAGACATGAGGTGAATCTTCTTGTCCATAAATATCAACTGAATCTAAAGAGATGCTAGCGTTCCTTTCTAACCTAATGTGATCAGTGTCCAGACTGCCAGAGTGTTTACTATCTTCATAACCTGCATTTCTTAACCCAGCAACTTCCAGATTGGATGCCCCTGGTGTTTCTGGTCTGTCGAAAGAGAAATGGCTGCTCAGATATTCTTGCTCCTCCTCACTGTGACACTCCTGCTGTGAGTCTTCGTCTGTGTGGCGCTTCTGCACATCTTCAGCAGTTTCTTTAGAATCATCGGAAATCCTGTAGCTTCTTTCTAGGCTAAGAATCTTACTGTGTTCCAAAACATCAAAAAACAACTCCTCTCTTTTCTGCATTTCGGAAGCTAATTCTGAATTTAAAATAACATTTTCATTCTTTAATTTTGAGTCTGCATAATGTATGGAGTATGTCTCATTCAAGAAAATGCAGTCGACACTGTCTTCAACCTCCCCTGACTGAGGGCAAGCACTCTCTAGTCCAGTGCCTGCACCGGCAGGAAGAGACGGCTCCAGTGAATCTGTCTGGTCAGTATTGCTGGTATCTCTGTCACTAGCAATTTGATCTTGTGCCAAGGAATCCCAGTCATCATCACGAAAAGTTAATTTGGCTTTATTATAACCACTGGAAGATGACAAATTTCCTTTCTTAGGATTAGAAGGCTCACCTGAGTTAGGAAAAAAAAAAGGATAAAAATGTTAACAACAGGGACATTACAGATTCTAAACAGCAAAAAAGAACTTAGATGTGTTCTGGTCCAAGTTCTTCCCAATGCAGAAATACTTTCACATTACCTCTGAAAATATCCCTTGTGGTTGCCGTGATGGACTGATATGTGTTTCCCCCAAGACTCCCATGTGGAAGCCTAAACTCCCCAGGTGACAGTAACTGGAGATGGGGCCTTCGGGAGGTAGTCGGGGCTGGGTGAGGTCACGAACATGGGCTCCTCAAGATGGGGTAAGTGCCAGAGAGCTTGCTCCCCCCCCCCCAGGACACTGAAGACAGCCACCTACAGGCCAGGAAGAGAGCCCTTACCAAAACCTGACCATACGGCACCCTGACTCAGACCTCCAGCCTCCAGAACTGTAGAAAAGAAGTATCTGTGGTTCAAGCCACCCAGTCTGTGGTCTTTTGTTATGGTGGTCCCAGCTAAGAGAGTGGCCACAATTCTTCCTGAACTCCTTCAGTGGAAGGAGTATTTGAGTGCCTACCAGTTCCAGGGGTGGGCCTTGGAGAAACAAAGAGGACATCTGTGGTGCACCCACATACTTATGGCTCCCATAGGGGTCACAACTAGGAAAAGCAAACCTAAATGCAACACAGGTAACGAGTGTGGACAGAGCTGTGATGGTGAGCAGGTAAATGCTTGAGCAGAAAGGAGAAGCCAATTTCTAAATAAACCTTACATTTAAAAAGTGCTTTGAAACATAACCGTCACCTTAGGCAAACCAAATGGCACCTCTAAAGTTAGCTGTGTGGAAGGACATGTTATTTTCAGGACACCATCAGCCCCTTTGTCTGGAGTAAAATAGCTTTATGGGAATGATCAAAGCTGAGAACAGCAGAAAAACTTTTTATGATGTGCCGAGGGGTCTGGCTCTTATTCTGAGGCTTCCGAGGGCTGAGTTGAGACACCTGGAGCAACAGGAAGGGGAGGCTGGAAGGGGGAGGCTGGAAGCGGCAGTGGGACTGAGGATGGCCCTGGTTTAACAGTCCCACAAGTGACAAGACTTGGTGGCTGATTAGAAATGGTGGAGAAGGGAGGAAGAGATTAGTGGCTGTATTTGAAAACTGCTAATAGCTATATGTTTATATAAGTATATACAAGGATCCATTTTAACATATATACATATATATATATTTGTTTGCCCCAAAACAGAGTCAGAAACAAGTTTCATATCAAGATCTAGGAGACAGGACCTGTCTGGGTAGCTCAGTTGGTTAGAGCATCATCCCAATACACCAAAGTTGCAGGTTCGATCCTTGGTCAGGGCACATACAGTGCCCTAAATCAACCAATAAATGTATAAATAAGGGGAACAACAAACATGTTTCTCTCTAAAATAAAGACCCAGTAAACAACAGATATACGTGTGTGAACAAGTGAAACAGATGTTACAAGACAGTAACTACTCTGACTCTGTCCAATGTGTTCTGGTATTTTCTGGTCTATTCATTTTATTAAAGAAAAGCTGATCTCAGTCAGCTGAACTGGTTTCATGATTCACCTGCGTAAGCATTGCTCTGACGTAATGGGAAGGGCTGCGACTTGGCACTACAGCTGAATGGGAGCACTTGGGGCTACAGAATGGGGACTTTTTGAAGAAGAGCTGATTTAGAAGAGGAGAAAAGCAAGGGGGGGTAACGAGTCCATCTCCAGGCACGTGGAATTTGAGGTCCACAGTAGAACACTTGGATTCAAATGCCAGTACAGCTGTTTTCAACCAGTGATCCCCAACAATTTTTAGAACGTGCAATACCTGACTACTTAGGGGCACTGACCTCTTTTCCCTTAAACGTTCAAACAAAAAATGACAAAAGCCAACACAGCATTAATCTGTCTTGAACCATAAATCAATAGGTCACATAACAGAGATGCCAACTTATTAGTCATGTCTCAAAATAAGGTTGCATCTGATTGGTTAATCTTTGATACCAGAAATCCTCATATGTATAGGCACCTGAATTTTTAAAAAGTCACGTTGGAGCAAAAAGGGTACATAATTACTATTATTGCTATTGTTTTTTGTAAATCAATCAAAATTATACCTATTTCTTTGTCGGATTGGCAAAAATACTTCTTTGGTGTGTGCAACACCTCGGTAACCAGTTACGTGCGCCGTGAGACGGAAAGGCTGACTGCGGCTGCTCTCACACGCGGCCACAAGTAGGGGCTGGAGCCAAGGAAAGCGGCGTCAGCCTCAGTTATAAACCCACGGGCTCACTACTTTTCTAGAGGTTTGTATAGGTGTTCGCTTTACATCCTGGATACCAATTCTTTGTTTTTCTTGTTTATGTGACTTTTTCCTAGTTCACTGCTTATCTCTTACCCTTTGCACCATTGTACTAGGGTCTTTAAGGTTATTTAGTTGAACGGATCAGCCTTTTCTAGGCCCGCCTCTGTGGCCTTTCCCACCACACAATCACAAATTATTCTTTTATAACTTATTCTGTGTATTGCGCCTCATAGACTCTCTATATTATGTAGGTTTTTTTTTTCCTCCTTAGCATAAGGCAGTAATCTAACTTATTTTATTCCCAAAATGTATGGTCAATTATATTAATTCCATTTGTGGACTAATCCATTACTTCCCTTCTGACTTAAAATAGCATTATTTTTTTTCTGAAGTTCACTTTAATAGTTAAAGCCACAATCAATTATAAGCACATAAAATTTAGTCATCTTGCTCTTTCTATTTTTTCTTCTACAATTACTACAGAAAAAGAAATTTGGATGTGTGAAGACAAATTACATTTAACTCGGGTAGCAAAGGTCAGCCTGCCCGCTTTCCATGTTAGACAACTGCACCTGTCAGCAGTTCCCTGGGGCGTGGCTGGACGGAAATGCTGTCTTCTGGTCCGCCTTCTCTTCCCTAAATCTCCCATTTCCCCAAAAGGTCCTATGTTAGCTGCCCATTCACAAAAATCAGGACTGAGCTTGCCAAGCTAAAACTTGCTAAATCGTACCACATTACTGACAGGAAAGCTTAAAGAGTAGCAACACTGGAGGGGGAGCTACCAAGTCCAGTTACGTTTAGCACCTCTCTCTGCACTAGAACAGAGCCGCTGGCCTCCCCTTACCTTTGTGGATGCTTCCTCCATCACTGTGGGAGCTGTTACCAGAAGCTGCCACCACCGCTGTGGTGGCCTGCATCGCTCAAGAATGAATATTCTAGAAGAAGTATAAATATTGAACTATTATTAGACTCAGAATTACATTAAAATATTAGAAAAACAAGAATTTGACAAAGTGGCAATTATAGTCAAAGATTCTAATGTAAGAGAGCTAATAAAAAAAACTGGTAGAACATTTGAATGATTTTTTTTAAAAAGCATGCACTAACAACTACACACAGCTGTAGTTGTTAGTGCTATTGTATTTGAACACCTGAGACATGCCCTTTGAAATTTCCAAGGAACATTAAAGAAAAAAATACACAATATATTTGGCCACCAAAAAAAAATTACACCCAAATAAAAAATGTTTCCAAAACAAACAAACTACACACTTATTAACAGCCAATGACATGGTGTATCCACACCTTTCGGCAAAGAAAAGGAACACACTACTGACACAGGGAACTTTGTGGATTAATCTCAAACAGAAAGCCGGACAAGAGGTCACCTTATTTTATGATTCCATCTCAGGGAATGCACAGAAATGCCAATTTTTGGAGACAGAAGTAGATCAGAACCTGCCTGGGGCAGGGTATGGGATGAGGGGATAACTGTGAATGGGACGGCACAAGGGATCTCACTGGAGGGACTAACTTGTTCTAATACATTTGATGTGATGGCCACATTACTTGATGAAGTTACTAAAATTAAACTGTACCTCAATAAAACTGTTTAAAAATTTAACAATGGCTCTCTGAACCTGGCTGCCACATGAGGGAGCCTGAGCCAGTTACCCGAGCTAGGCCTGGAGCTCCCAGCAGCCACCCCTGAGGTTTGTTAGGGTCACTGCTGGGCAAGGTCAGTGCAACCCTGCCCAGGGGGTGGGCAGAAGCCTAGGCTGGGACAGGGAGCATCCAGGGTGCAGTATTTGCTGGGTGGGCAGAGACCCTTTCCTCTATCGCCTCAAAGACCTTCCAGGTCTCTCCATAGAGGGCATCCGGGCAGAACCTGGGGGAACATGCTGCTCCTGGTAGAGAGGCTGCGAGAATCACAACCCTGCAGCCCTGACCCAGCCTGGCTGACCGGAGGGAGTGGATCCAGGGCTGGGACAATGGAGTAGAGATGTGGGGGTGCACCATGTGGTGAAGGAGAGCAGAGGAGCCACCTGGGGCTCTGTATCCACATCTGTGCTCACAGTAGAGTGGGGGATGAGGAGGCATAAGGGTCTGGAAACCCACCTTCCTCCAAAGCGTGCCCAGAGCCAGCCCTGGGGCAGGCAGATAAGGGAGGGGTCAGAGACTGGGCGAGTTCAGGGTGGTCTGGTTGTAGACCTGCACCCTTTCTGTTTGCGAGACAGCGCTCCAACCATCTGAGCCACACTGGCTAGGATGATGAGTTCCTTTCTATACATAATATGTTCTAAGTGCCTACAACATATACAAATTGAACTACACAGTTGTGAACTGTAGGAATTATCTGCACTGGAAGTATGTGATTCCAATTTAATGTTTCAAAAATTCCTTTTAGGGCCCTGGCTGGTGTAGCTCAGTGGATTGAGTGCGGGCCTGCGAACCACAGGATCGCGGTTCGATTCCCAGTCAGGGCACATGCTTGGGCTGCAGGCCAGTTCCCTGCAGGCCAGTTCCCAGCAGGGGACGCAAGAAAGGCAACCATACATTGATGTTCCTCTCCCTCTCTCCTCCTCCCCTTACCCTCTACAGATAAATAAATAAAAAATCTAAAAAAAAAATTCCTTTTAGCTAATAATGGGGAAAAATGGCCTAATAATATTTTTACTGCCACGAGACTAGCTACAGATTAATTTTTGGGGTTATGAACTTTCCAAAGATTTGATAAAATCAGTTACTTCCCTGAGAAAATGCACAAACCCACATAATGTATGGACTTCTCTAATACACTTAAAAATTTTAAAGTTAGTTAAGTCCTGACTTAAAAGATTGTATTTATGTCAGTAATGACCCTTCTCTAGGAATACCAGGTAAATACTTAAGATAAAGACTAAGATCAAAAATACGTAAATACACTTTGCTTCTTCGCACAACCAAAAGAAGGATGACAACAAATTTAAAGACAAAAACTAGCCAGAAATGCCAGAAAATAGAACTTTATTAAGTCTGACAACCAGGGAGTTAAAGAAGAAACATCCGTCCAGTCTGGTAGGCCGGGTGGAGGCAGGCAGCTCAGGTGGACAGGATGTGCAACAAGGCAGTGGACCAGGGGGTGAGGAAGTGGCTAGAAGTGCGGGTGGTGCCATGTTTGCAGGTGGAAAAACCAGCAGGAACAACTGGGGAGCAAGACTGACCCTGAAACCCAGGGTTCTAACATGGGGAGAAATAAAGCCTCAAAACCTCTGACTATAAAAAAAAACCTGTGGGGGTTGAGGCAGCAGTGGGAGAAACTCCCAGCCTCACAAAAGACTTCACTGGAGAGACCCACAGGGTCAAAGAATGTACACAAACCAATGCTCCCAGGGAATCAGCACCAGAAGGGCCCAATATGCTTGTGGGTGGCGGGGGAAGTGGCGAAAAGTGGGGTGGGAGCAACAATACTTTGTTGTTCCCTCAGACCCCTCCCCCACAGACAGTGCCACAACACAGCTAGGTGGGTTGCCCCTGCTTGGTGTATACCTAAGGCTCCATCCCTGAGATGGTTAACAAGAGCACTGAGACAAAAAAATATGGCCTAGATGAAAGAACAGATCAAAACTCCAGAAGAACTAAGCAATGAAGAGAGAGCCAACCTATCAGATGCACAGTTCAAAACACTGGTAATCAGGATGCTCACAGAAATGATTGAGTATGGATGCAAAATAGAGGAGAAAGTGAAGGCTATAAAAAGTGAAGTAAAGGAAAAGTGAACATCAAGAAACCAACATACTGATGGGGAGGAAACTAGAACTCAAATCAACAGTATGGACCAGAAGAAATAAACATTCAACCAGAACAGAATGAAGAAACAAGAATTCAAAAACAATGAGGAGAGGCTTAGGAACCTTTAGGACAATTTTAAACGTTCCAACATCCTAATCACAGGAGTGTCAGAGAAGAAGAGGAAGAACAAGAAATGAAAAATTTATTTGAAAAAATAATGAAGGAGAACTTCCCCAATCTGACAAAGGAAACAGACTTCCAGGAAGTCCAGGAAGCTCAGAGAGTCCCAGAGTAGTTGGACCCAAGAGTAACACACCAGGGCACATCATAATTAAGTTGAGCAAGATTAAAAATAAGGAGAGAATCTTAAAAACAGCAAGAGAAAAGGAGACAGTAACCTACAAAGGAGTTCCCATAAGACTGTCAGATGATTTCTCAAAAGAGACCTTACAGGCAAGAAGGGGCTGGAAGGAAGTATTCCAAGTCATGAAAGCCAAAGACCTACATCCAAGATGACTCTATCCAGCAAAGCTTTCATTTAGAATAGAAGGGCAGAAAAAGTGCTTCTCAGAGAAGGTCAAGTTCAAGGAGTTCGTCATCATCAAGCCCTTATTATATGAAATGTTAAAAGGACTTATCTAAGAAAAAGAAGATAAAAAATATGAACAGTAAAAAGACAGCAAACTCAAAGTTATTAACAACCACACCTAAATCAAAAGCAAACTAAGCAAATAAGTAGAACAGGAAAAGAACCATAGAAATGGGGACCACATGGAGGGTTATCAACAGGAGAGTGGGAGGAAGAGAAGGGGGGAGAAGGTACAGAGAATAAGTAGCATGGATGGTAGGCAGAAAATAGCTAGGGGAAGGGCAAGAGTAGTGTGGGAAACAGAGAAGCCAAAGAACTTATATGTAAGACCCATGTAACATAATCAATAAAACACACTTAAAAAATTAAAATAAAAAAGCCAGTTCATTAAAATAACTGGCCTTAGGCTAGATAAGTCTTTTTCATTCTTACAAGTATTGGGTATCCCTAGAAGTTTTCATTTATATGAGTAATATCTATTAATAGCTACAACATAAGATATTAAAATAGAAAAAAATAAAAGTTTGCTAGTTTATTCATATACAATAAACCTGTAACGAACAAACATTTTAAGTTAAAAATATTTTTTAAAAATTAGTGAGAATAACATTTTACACTTCACCAATCTCTTCAATTTGTGTCTTAACGAGCTGCACTGTAATTCATATTTGATTCTGCATTCCAATCTCCATTCAATGTGTTGTAAGATTCATATGAACAGTCACTCAAGGTCAGAAACTAAGACAAAAGGAAAAATGGTACTATAACAGAAACACTTGCAAATCATACATCAGATAAAAGTTTATTATCTGGAACATATAAAGAATTCTTACAACTCGACAGAAAAACATGTAATTTTTAAAAAGAACAACGGACTTGAATAAACATTTCTCCGAGGACAAGCAAATGGCCAATAAGCACACAAAGTCACATTGTTCCTCAGAGAAATGCAGATCAAAATCAGGAAAACACCATTCCACCGCTGTCCGACCTGCAGCTTGCGGGCTGCGCACAGCCCAGGGCGGCTATGAATATTGCCCAGCACAGAACTGTAAGTTGACTTAAAACACGATTTTTGTGATTACGGGTTGCGATGCATTGAACGTGTGGCCCAAGATGAGTCCTCCTTCCAGCGTGACCAGGAAAGGCCCAGAGGCCGCCCCTGCTTCCAACCTCTAGGGTGGCTGGCAAAGTACGACCGACAGCGGGACGCTCGGGGCGGCAGGACGCGGAGAACACGCAGAACCTCCCGGTTGCTGCGGGAGGCGGACCGCTGCGTCCCCAGCAGGGCCGTGGGCACAGAAGGCCACAGGCGCGCCCACCTTCGTCCCGTCCACCAAACGACTACCTGACGGGCCTTCCGCCCCCGCACCGAGCCCGAAGCCACAGGCCTCCCCCGGTTCTCGTCAATCTGACCCAGAAACCCGCGACTCCACGTGCCACGACGGCAACCTTCTCCCCAGCCAGAACCACCTTTCCAAAACGCAAACCTCGTCACTTCGCGCCCTTGCTTAAAACTCGGCAACGCCGTCTCCGTCCTTCGGGCGAATACTAAAC